TTAATTTCTTAATTTTATAAAGTATCTTTTTAGTTCTTTAATTCTAATATAGTTAGTTCTATTCTAACAAATTTTTGTATTAAACTTTCAAATATTAATAAAATATTTTTAAAAGTTAACATATTAAGTTTAATTTTTTTTCAAAATAACAATGATTCACATAAAAATAATTATTTAAAATTAATAATGTTAGGAATAAATGATTAAAAATACTTTATAAAATTAAAAGACTAAATTAAAATATTATATAAAGTTAAAGGACTAAAAATATAATTTACCACAAACCTTTCAGACATAATTATTAAAATTAATTAATTTTTTTAAACTTTATGATATAATTTTTTTATATATAGAAATAGATGGATTATTATATTAATAATTGATTGTTAAAAAAGATACTCCCTCTACTTTAAATTATAAAATACTTTTAGATAAAATCTCATAGTCTAATAAATCTTGTTAAATACACTTAACAATCTTATTTTTTTAAAATAAAAATGTAAACTTTCAAAATATTCTTTATTTGATAACATTAAATCTACACCTAATTAGTATTAAATAGATAGAGAAAAAAGATAATATTAAAATAAATTTATTTAATAAAATTTTAATCTTTTTAAAACATTTTAAGATGAAAAGAGTACATTTCACCACCAAACGAGAGTACATTAGTTTATATACTAAAGTTTATTAGGTAAAGTTTTTTATTGATTTACTGATATATTGACTGTAAGTGGGTTCCATATGACAAACTTTAAACTTTTTTTTATTTTGACCTGAGAAACCACAAAGAGGGATTTGCTCCACTCAAAAAGCGGGATGGAATCTGCTAATACGGAATCTTGTTGCCGACTAATGAAAAGACAAAATTAGCCCTCCAACCTTTCTTACTGTAATTTCAACCATCTCCGAAGGCTACGATTGTCAATGGCCACCTCCCGCAATGAAGCCAAAGATATTGGGGCCCGACTCTCGAAACCTAAATCTAACTGGCAGGCCGCACCTACCGAGCTACACCTCCCCATACTTCATATAACCTCCAAAAAGTGACTCGCGTCACGTTCCAGTTCCGCGCACAGTTCCACTTGATACGGCGGGCGTGATGCACAGTTGCGCCACAGCCGAGCCATTCTCACCGTCTGTGCCGGCCACGCTCTCATGCAAGCATGTGACTGAGAACGACAGCCTACAGCTCAGAATAACTGCGCCACAAATATGTCTCGATTCTATTGGTGAAATTTACACGCGCGCTTCAGGATCCCGATTTCATGATCGAAGGGTGTGAAAGAAACGCGTGGATTTACTCCAGGTATGATAGCGTGGTCTTTCACTCCATCTACTTGCAGTCCCTGTTGCAGAAACATGAGTAATGGACGTATTACGGCACTGCTGCCTCCACATTTAAGTAGTATCCCGTACAGTAAACACATGCTTCGCGATTATTCTTTTCTCACATTTCGAAGAAAATGAACTTTTTATAATTAATTTACAAGTAAAAAAAGGAACATTAAGAGCTAGTCTTGAAAACGAATAAATAAAACAGTTTCATAACTTTAATGAAATTGAAAATCACGTCAATGTCACTTTTGAACAAATTTATCCCTAATTTTTTAATTGAAAATTCAATTTTCAGCGCATGAATTTTTTTTACTTAATTTTAATATTCAGGATAACTTTAGTAAGATTCTGGGAAAAAAATTTAAAGAAAGGAAAATGGAGAATCGAATTCCCCTATATTACAATCTTTTGATTCTTGTGTCTGTCATTATTTGAATCTATGCTCTTAAACTATATGGTGGATTATCTAGTCGGGTGTTGATTGAACGTGTTTTTTATAATTTAAACAGCAATGAGTGATTGATTTAGCTTGTTGTCGGTGCTTCTTTTGAAAACAAATGCACTTAGATCCGTTGATTTTTTTTTCCCCAAAGCAGTATAAAATTCAACAAATAAGTTGTGTTATTAGCATAATATTAAAAATCGAGTGAGCATAGTTAATTGAGCTGATAAAACCATAAAACCAGCATCTTTATGTGATTAATAAAATATTTTGTTTATAGTCAATCTAACGACAGTTTAATTATTAACCCCTGAATTAGTGCATTAACGTTGATTGTGTTCATATTTAATGGTGGGAAGAATAAGGATCGGATGTGGGGAGACATGTGAAAAGTCTCAGCAACTAGTGATTTGGATTATCTTGTGTTTGTTTGGCAGTGTTGGATAAGATAAGCAATGGAAGAGTGGAGTTCTCTGAATTTTGTCTATGTACGTTTCATATAACTTTTGGTCCTTTTTTCATATACAACAAAAGAAATCATTGGAATTGTTAGGCACTTATTACTGAGAAATTTTTTCTGTAAGCGATTTCTTTTTAAAATATCGTAACCACTAAATAAATTCTCAATATAAAACAGTGTGTGCGTGTGTTATACATCTTGGAAAAAAAAAAATCCAATTGTGATAAGCAGATGTCTCGTGAGACTGTGAGGATGATATTGCTGCTATTTTTGGAGGTATTTTTTATTTTTAATTATGAATATTGATTCTGCATTTCATCATATTAATTGTTGGTTCTCAACTGTATATGAACATTTGTGGACTCTTCTCTTTCTTCTTCTCCCTCGTTTGCCAATAATTTAACTCAAATCTAATAAATAAATAAAAATATCATTAATTTTTTAAAGAGAAAAAACAGAGAATTTCTTGCACATTATGCTCTATTAATATCGTGGCTATTTTTAATTCACATCCTTTTCTATTGCATATCAGATTTAAATTTTAAATTTTTACTCTCTTTGTTAAAAAATGTAAGGCATTTTTAAAGAGTTGAATATTAAAAATGTAAAGTATTTTTAATCTTTTGAGGTATAATCATTGTTTTTTTTTAAAATATTCCTATTGATAATGATATATTTATTGTAGGGTGTTTAATAGGGATAAATATAAAAAAGTAAAGTTAATTTAAAAATAAATAATTATTTTATTAAAATGTGAAATTCAATTAAAAATATTTTATATTTTTTAACGTAGGGAGTATATTTAATTCCAATGACTTACCTGCCACTTTGAAATCCTTTCGTTTATGTGATGATTGGATGAATACAATCAAAGATTGATAATAAAAAATTAGATTAAAAAACCCCGAATGTTCAGACTCAATTTTTTTTTCAAAAAATATGTTCGTATTATATATAAATGTACTTAAATCATGATGTCGCACCATTTATTTGGAAGAAAAGGGGAATAAGATTCTTTTTGATCATTACCGAAGTTGAAAGTAACATTATCTTTTTTATAAAATAAAAACTACAAATGAAACATACGATAATAAGTCTACATATTTTGATTGTGTTTTATTTCTGGCCTCTACCGTATTTTTATTTCATTGTTCTTTATCCATTTAGTTCGATTCGTATGAAACATTAATTAGTTATTATAATTTAAAAAATTTATATGAAGACCATTAGGTAATATTAATTTTGTTAATATATACTTTAGTCTTGATCGCGTCCCTGAGACTCAGTTAAAATCAAATATACAAGAAAGCCTTTTTGCTCCCTTAATTTTTATTTTTATTCATGTCTAATCAAATTATTATTTTATTTCTATGTCAACAAAAGTGTTAACAAAGTTATAGGAAAATTAACTAGAGTCAGTAATTTAAATCAAATTTGAACTCGTCGGAAAAAAATTAGGAATGAATTTGATTATATATACTTTTTAAGAAAATATGATACTTTAAGTTCAATCTGAATAAGTCCAATTTGAATTGAGTTCAACTTGAATAACCCTGACTACTGAAATTTTCAACTCTATATGTATATAGATTTGGCAATTTTGGCCAAGTCCGACAGGTTAGTCCCGATTGAAAAAGGTTAAGACTGAACTTGGCTATATTAATTATTTTAAGGGGGTAGGATGTTTCAAATCAAATCTAAATACGCTTGGTCTGAATTGAACTTAATTCAAATAAGTTTGCTGTGTCTGAATTACCAGCTTTAAAATTAACTAACTATATTATTACAAATTCAAGACCATCGTGTACTTTTTTTAAAATTCTAGAAACTCACATGGCAGACAAATCAAAATAAGAGAACTAAAAATAATGAAATAAAAGTATATGAATTAAAAATAAAACATAATTAAAATATAGAAACCAACTGTTTCCAAAAATAAAACCCAACCCTCCAACATTAAAAGGAAAAATAAAAAACTTTTCTTTCGGCTTTATTTCTGGTTTAGTATTTCAGATAGAATTTAGTTTTTTTTTTTTTTAGCACGAAGTTGTTGGCCTTTTCAGGTCTATAAGTTCCCCACTCAAAATCACTGCGAGCCCTCCCCTCTCTCCCATTTCTCTCCTTCTCTCAGTTACTTCACAGGCTGTAAGATATTTTCTTGCACGCTGCGCGAGCTCTCAGCTTTGAGCCCAAGCTTTGTTCTTCACACAGATCTCGAGGTTTTCATCGGAGTCTCCAAATTGAAGCCAAGTTGTTGGCCGTTTTTGGACTGAACATCCATAACCCGCATACCAAATCTCCAGATTCTTCATTCTCGACGCCAAAGTTGGAAATTTTTCCCATGTCGGAGTGAAGGGTCGGACTCTGTTCGGAACAGAAAGTCGCGCTTTTTCCCCCATTAGTGTCGTAGATTTTGAGGTTTTTTTAAATGCCCGATTTCGTGGTATTGATGTTTGAGATTCATGAATCCAATTCTCAGTGAAATCTTCTTTTCTGGGTGTATGGTCAATTCCACTGTCTGGCGCAGGACCCATTTAGTTCAATCCTTCTCTGTTGCCTTCCTCTACTGGCTGTACTACGTTTCATGATTTTCGAGTCTAGTTTTCTAATTACTATCGCTAATCGCTATATTCTGCAATAATACTTTTGTTTTCTGCAATATTTTCTGGGTTTCTTTCCGTTTAGCTTCTGGGTCCTGCGAGTGTTTTCGTTTTCGTTTCGTTTTTTTTTGGGGTCTGTGTAATCTCGTGTTGATCTCTCATGGCTTCCTCAAGCGGAACATCTTCAGGTTCAGGTTTGTCATCTCCGGCTCAAAACTCTGGTTCGGAGGGGGATTTGCAGCTTCTGATGGATCAGAGGAAGAGGAAGAGGATGATATCGAATCGTGAATCGGCGAGGCGATCTCGGATGAGAAAGCAGAAGCATCTGGACGATCTGGTGGCTCAAGTGGCTCAGCTCAGAAAAGAGAATCAGCAAATTCTCACGAGCGTGAATCTCACCACAGAACAGTACCTACGAGTTGAATCTGAAAACTCTGTTCTCCGAGCTCAAGCCAGTGAGCTGAGAAACCGGCTCGAATCTCTGAACGAGATAATCGATTACTTGAATGCGAACACTTTGATTGAGCCCAACAATGGCTTCTTCAATCCGATGAACATGGGATATCTGAACCATCCGATCATGGCTTCTGCAGATTTATGGCCGTGATGATGAAATGATTTAATAATATTATGTCATGTAATGAGAAATCTGTCTGCTTGGGGCTTTCAGGAATTTGAATCAGAGTCAGTTGAGAGATTAAAATCACTACCAGATAGATAGTGATGATAAATAATGAGGTTGTATCTTACTCTAAGGTTGCTGAATGGTGGTTCTGTATATGGGGCCTCTTACGGTTTATTGTGATTTAAGCATCTATTATTGTTGTTGTTGTTGTATTATTTTCTTGTTCAATTCTTCTGTCGCTCTCTTTCTTCTTTTGCGCTTTTTATTGATTGCTCTTTATAATTAATGCTGAGTATTTGGTGGATTCAGGTCTTTTTTCTTGGTTTGACCAAACTCAAGTACTGCAAATTTGTACGTAGTTTGAATCATTAGAATGCTAATTTCTCCTTTCTGGATGTTTGTGAGCCTTTGGTTTCTTTATGTTTTATTTGTCTTACGGATTTTTTTTTAAAACCATGATTTGTCTTATGGATTGATTGATTGCGAGATTTTTAGTTTGATTCAAGCCATAGCCTTATAATCTATTGTAGTGGCATGCATGTTCTTCCAGAAGTGAGGGGCAGTGTGATTTCGCTTGTAATCTCGTGATCTCATGTCATTGGTACTTGCTTTTTTCCCTGAGAAGATAATTGGCAACTAAATAAATCTTATTATTTTTTTAATCTTATTTATAAATCACTTTTAATATATTTTAATAGGAATTAATAAAAATTTTAAACCTTATTAATTGTCTTAAAATTTAAAAAATTTAATGAGGGTAAAAAATTTTTTTAAATTTTTTAATATTTAATAGGGATATAAAGGAATTTATTTTGAGTTTTTTTTCCCTCTACGCTCTCTCTTTTTCCCCAAAAAAATAACAACTAAGGATATTTTAAGAATATTAATATCAAATTAATTTTTTTTAAAGATTCAGTTTTAAAATATAAAAAATGAGTACTAAATTTAGAGACCTAAACTATGATGAGATTCTTATTTCTTATTATTTTTTTATGAGATCTTTAGTTATTATTCTCTCATGAAAATCATTCTCATCAATTTTTATATTACATTTATTAGTTTCACCAACTAAATTTGACGTTGTAGTAAATATTTTTATTACTTAAGTAAATAGTTGGATATTTAAACATTGGTTTTTGTATGTGTAACAATTTAGACGATCAATACATTATTCTTAGCTATTTAAGAGAGAGATATTCCTTACTATGGCAACTTACTCATTATACTTAAAAAAAGGGCATTATCTTCCTATATTCTAAGGAGATTTAATGAAGGATTGGAGGTTGAATATTTTAAAAGTCTCGTGCATTACGAACCGTAGAAAAATGAAAATTAAGCAAACGCCACTTTTTGCTGTATCAATAAGAAAAAATTGCGAAAACTACGTGAAAGTGTTGAGATTCACATTATTTTATGTTTGTTTGGGGCGACAAGATTCAGACAATGACAAGAGCAAACATTTGACATAAGACGGGGAAAGTTAGGTAAAGAAATTAGAAGAGGGCATCGTAATGAAGAAGGTGCTTGGAAAATGGTTCAAGATTCCCCGAGGAAGTGCGTTGGATTTATACTTTGGACTGTCTGGCAGCGAAAAGTCTAAAAATTACAAGCTCAGAACTTAGGTTGCGTTTGGTAACCGTAAAATATTTCTTCAAATGATTGATTCCATTGGAGTGTTCATCTTTGAAAAGATGAGCAATAAATCTTTCTGTTTGCATACAAAATTATTTTTCACTCTGAAAAATAAAAGAGGGGTATACTATTAATCTTCTAATTTTATTTAAAATTTCAGTTTTATTTTTTTAATTTTATAAAATAATCTTTTTAAAACTCGTTTGATAGAAAAATAAAAGAGGGGTATACTATTATTTTTAAAACTCATTGAGGGTGAATGTGAGACTAGTTAAGGTGCCAGAATCAAGAAATCACCAAGTTGGCTCAATGGGACAGAGACTGTGACGGCGAGCGAAACAACGTTACAAAGAAAATCCGGAAAATCCGGTATCCAATACAACATAGTATTTGTTATGCCAATGTTTCAACTTTCTAAAGTTTTTCTTATAAATACAGAGATGATACAATGATACTATAGAACCTAACACTTAAGAAGAGCTGCCACTGATAGCAGATGGGCAGGAGCCATGCAAAATGAAATTGATGTCATTGAAACTTGAAAGAAATAAAAACTTTTCCCAACTAACTTTTCAATCAGATTTAACTATCCTATTATTTTTCAGTGATACTACACAAGATTCCAAATCCCTTTTCTTTAATTTCTTCTACGCTTTCGGTTGCGTTTTTGTTTTTGTTTTTTGAAATTTCAAATATTTAGATATTTAGCCAATTAAAATAATGATATACTGGAGTAAAGTAATTGTTATTTTTTCCCCCTGTGTGTATATAATATTCTATATATGTAATTTTCATTATTTAATATATCAAATTGTATATTATTTAAAATTTTTATCACATTTTTAAACATTTTTAATTTATTATATCTGTATAACAAAAATTACAAATCATCTTAAATCAATATTTTTTGGTAATTGTATATTGAAAGACACATTTCATTATATAAAATTTAAATTGATTTAAAAAATATATCTAAATATAAATTTTGTTAGAATAATTAACTTTCATTGAATTAATTTTTATCAAATAAATCTTTGATAAATTAATTTTTTGTCAATAGAAAATCAGATACACACCTAGTCTTCTAATCCCGATGCCATTAGCATCAAGTGATTTTTGCGTGTGTCAATTATTATTATTTTAAAAAATTAAGTTTAATGTTTCATTTTAAATTGTTCTATAAGGTTTCATTTTATTCTCATTCACATGACTGCTCAATAATAAAATCTTTTTATTTTCTCATTCAATTTTTTTACATTAAATTAAATTGAAATATCCTTTAAAAAAATTATTGGTTATTCGATGAAATGGATTATAGTTATGCGTGTTTACAAACTTTGTTTTTCCTTCACTTTAAGAAGAGAGTATAATCCATTCAAAGTAGAAGGTGGTTTAACTTTGCAATTTTAATGTGTTGAGACATAATGATGTAATGTAATTGATCTTTTTAATATTATATTCATTAATTGTTTATAGAGATTGGCATTACGCATGTGGTTTGGTCACATGCAACTTGAGAAAATAACTTCTTTAAAAGATAATATCCAATTACAACGACACTGTACTTAATCATGTGTGTGTCTGGGTCCAATTTAAAAACTTGATTCTTCTTAATTAAGGTTGACGATTCAAACTTTACGTACATAAAATGAAAATCATATTAGAAGAGTTATCTCTTATCATACTTTTTTTTTATTACATATCTCTTATCATACTTGACAACACTTAAAAATTAACTTAGTAACTAAATATAAATAATTGTATCAAATATTACATATATTATAGGCCAGATTTGAACTACTTTGCTATAAATATGAAAGTGGACTTGTTGCAGCATGGAGTGAAATAGACAACTTGAAGGGCTCCACATAGTGTAAATAATTGTATCAAATATTATTTAAAACTGGAAAGATTGAGTTAATTACACTCAATTACAATCTTAAATAAATTATTTTAGTAGGGCATGTGGAAGGTAGCAAAAAAGCACTGTGATTCCAAACATAAACATTAAGAGATTTTTTTTTTCTCTTGAAATAAAGCAAATATTTTATTAATAAACATTAAGAGATTAAAATATTTAGAAAGAGAGACAACAGTTTTCACGATAAATCATGCCTTTTACACTTCGCCCTCTCATATGAGGAAACGAAAGCATGTGTATATAATCAACTTGTGATTTTTTAATTGATTGAAGCATGTATATATAATCAACTTATTTATTTTCGCATTAGACAAAAAAATCATTGTTTTCAGGGGAAATATATATAAATTGTAAAAATAAATAAATAAAATTTAAAATATATAGATATATAATTTAATTGAAATAATTATTTAAATAAAAATCATGTAAATATAAAAAATAAACAATACGATCGATTTTTGTGCCTTTTTTGTTCCGCAAAATACAAAACATATATAGTAAAGGGTGTTACTGAATCATGAGGAATTCACTACACGAGTATATTTAAAAATATGGTTTCGTGAGCACTTACGTAACAACCACTGTTTGTAAACAATTAATTATTGATTAGCTTAATTAAACAAGGATTGTTATATCAACTCTCTCCAGTTCACACCGCACCATACAGACTTTTAATTAATTTTAAATTTAAATTAAACGAGAAACTTGCCTTTTGGCTGATCATGGGTGTGCCCAATGATTACTGACACACTCCTATATTTACAAATTTGTCCCTTCGCATCCTTTATAATTAATTTGCACAAAAGAGTAATTGTCATTTTAACCCTTAAAAAAAAAATTGGCCGTCAATGTACCTTTTTTTTTTTGGTGACCATCAAGATATTGTTATCAAATTATGAAAACCAGAACTTATGCCTCATGTGTTGCTTAGGAAGTTAATTTTATTTATGTTAAAATGTGGAATTGGATTGTAAATTTGATAAGATTTTTAATGTAAACATGTCATATGGTTTCTTAGTATGAAAAGTTGGTTCATAAAGTTTTTTTTTTCAGATTTGTTATAATGTTTTAATAATGTTTCTTGATGAATTATTTGTCTTGGTTTGTATATGAAATTATGAATAAGGTGTAATTGTTTTTGAAATGGATTTTGTTGTTTTAATAGTTATATCTATGATAATATTCTCTTGAACAAATGAGAGGAGGGAGAACTTGATAACATTGAATGGATTGTAGTGTTATATATTGGCTTGGAAGGTTTCTAATTGATAAAGTATGATCTAAAATATACTTGGAAGGATGTAGAAGTTAAGACTAGCTTCATTGTGTTTGGGAATTGATGATTTTTTTTTTGTAGTTATACTTGGAGAGTACATTTTTAGAAAAACTTGAATACAATTTCTTAGTTGCTTTTGTGGTTGTTATGATGAAATTGTAAATATTATATTAAAAATATGAAGTCACTGAAGAGTATCCCATGTAAATCGGATGAAGCATTGTAGAACTTTTATTATAATTAGTATTTAAATATGTTATTTGTAATTATAATACTATAATGGAGATTGTTTATTTGCTCATGAGTTTCCTATGAAGTTTTTTTTTTATCAGGCAAAGCAATTTAATTTTGCAATAGTAGATAACATTTATTGTCAATTCTATAAA